AAATAATTAGTAAATATTTTATTTTTTACCAGTATCCAACAGTGAACAATGCCACCATTTGCAAGACTAGATAATAAAATAAATATTATTTATGTACTTTAATATAAAGGTCAAGCTATATCATTAATCATAATATAAAGTCTATTAATCAATGATTTTGAATAAAATGAACTATTTGACAATGAAAAATCATTTATTTATGATTTTAAGAAGGTAACAAAATTGTCACCTTTACTGAAACTGACAGTGCAATTTATTTAGATCATCAAAATAAGTTTGACATAATGTGATATAAAAAAGAAATAATCCAGACTTTTTTTTTTGTTACATCGGATTATACAATAATATCTCCCATTGGCTATGTCTCGAATGCTAATTGACTTACTACTATTCATTATAGCTCTCATGACGTCACCTACAGATACATTATTCATTAAAATCCCCGAAAACAGAGATTAATAATCATCCCAATGGATACAGGTTAATAATACATGTTTAATTGAGGAAATATTCTGTTAAACTTCTGCATAATTTTTGAATTAAAATCACTGTCTGATGACAGTTAAAATGCTGCGCGTGAGAAATGTCTCTTAACAACAAAGAATACAGTTGAAGTATATGAACTTCGATTCATTATCACTACAATAAGTGTCATCAATCTATTAGGGCTTTGTCCCGTTTAAGAACATTAATCAACGAAACATCAATCAATTGCACGGAACATTTTCTACAAGGATGGAGATGAATTCCAACCGACTGCAGTCGAGTTCAGGTTTACAAACATTACAGTTCATTAAAACTTGAAGTGACCTGGTTGAAATTATCAATAAATTTCAATTATATAAATTACTTGCAATATTATGCAAATATTATATTCATCTTCCAACTTTCCTAGCCTATTACCATACGAATTATAGTCTAAGTGTTCTTTAGTGTTACTCGTCGAAAGTAACTATGAAGAGTCGTGGTGAGGTGCTCTTAAATGTGGATGCAATGGTCATAATTATGTACTTTCACTATACAGTGTTTCTGTTGGAAGTAAAATAAGTAATGATGATAATGATAATGATGATATAATAGGCCTAGTTATAATAAGAAAAATATTAATACAGACACTAAAAATACTCCTTTAAATAAATGATAATAATAATCATGATATACGAAAGCGAGGCATATTTTCTTCTACAATAACAATGGTGTATTGTCTTATTACATAACAAATAACTAAATTTTGTTTTTTTATTTTACTGTTGCAAATGGCCGGAGTGACCTAAATTAAGTCATTTAAAACTTAAATTGTTTTCAATCTCACAATTCGGTGAATAACAGTAATCCAAAGAACTGCACATTACTTTCTCTTGAGGTATTCAGCTATACCTACCAAATATTCCGTTCACATCCGTCGCCCATTTATTCTAAAAAATCAATGTTTTTACAATTCTATTTTGAGTGATCGGTGACATAATGATGTCTGAGATATTTATGATTTCCTAACTTTAGTCTTTGTATCATGAAATAAGTTGTACGGTCATGATATCGACAATTTGCCAAGATCGAGAATCAACGGTAGCTATAGGGCTGGCTAGTCTGCCCTATGGCTGTGTGGCGTTCAGAAAAATATGATTTACTCTAATTACTTCATTAAACATTACACATCCCACAATAAAATGTTCAAAATACATAATATAACAGAAAATGGAAAATTATAATATGGTAAACAGTATAATGTTATATATCACAACATGTATGGAAGAGAAGTATACAATAGGTAATATAAAAATAAATACTGTATAACGAAGTTTGTAGCATAGTCAAATAAATATACCTGTCTCTTATACACATCTTTTTCGGCAAATTTATATTGCGTTGAAACAAGGCATTAAATCAACGAGTCATGTGGACTATATAGAACACTAGTTTATCTTAGTTTATCGACAATTTCTTTTAAAATAAATTAGTCTTGTTTAGTTTTTTAAGCTGAAGAAGACCTTTTTTAAAAAATAAACTAGTGATATATTGTCTACATCAAGTACAAAGTTTTACGGTAAATACTGTGCAATTAAAACCCAGGATATAGCAATTCGTTGCAGATCCACGACTTTTAAATAGGGCCGGGGCCCAGGAAGGAAGTTTCACAGGTGGAGGGTCTATCGTAGACAACCTCTAAGCCCCACGGAGTTGGGACTGAAGTTTTAAAAGTTGGGACTGAAGTTTTATAAGTTTTACAAGTTTATAAAACGTCAACCATCTATTTCTAGTTATTTGTGTGAAATATTCAGGCCTACCAATACAATACTTGATGCAAGAATAAAATACTCGGGGTTTAAATAAGAAGTTTTACAGTAAATATTGTGTAATTAAAACCCGAAATATATCAATTTGTTGCATAGTAAAGTGGCAGATCCACGAATTTAAAATAAAGGGGGCCCAGGAAGGAACTTTCACAGGTGGGGGGTCTATCGTAGACCACCTCTCAGACCTACAAGAAAATTTATTATGGTACCTCTAGATGGTCGGAAATGGCACTCTCCAACTTAAATTTGAATATAATTTTCTCTTTTTCTCAATTCTTTTTTATAGGGAATGTCAGCCACAATATGCATACTCTACGTTGATATGTAGTTGCACGACTGCACTCTATTGGATCACCATTATTCAGCAGCAAAAACAAACTGAATTCACAATTATAAAAACAAACTAATTACAGGTATATTAAATTTATTTCGTTCTCTATCTTTAACAATAAATAACAATCGGAAAAATTCACATAATACTATGGTACATACAACTTCCAAATAGGAGGCAAAAGTATGTTCAAATCATGGGGGGAAAACACAAATGTCTCACTTGTAATGTTAGAAATTGTGCCACTTACTCTACAAAGAAAAGCAGCTACCTACACCAAGTAATTATTAGAGTTCAGTGAAAAAAAATTATAGATTTTTATAGAATTTTTACTTTTATTCTAATGTCGTTAATCTATTTGCTACATGAATTATTGTTTAGTAAGGCAACATTTAATAGATAAAGAGTTTACAGTCATTCAAAAAAATAGTAGAATATTATTAGCAACCAAATAAATATTATAGAATAGCAGCCTAGTATTGACAGTGTACATAACTAGTGGCATATGGTATGGAGGTATTAATATAGGGTTAATGAGAGGGTAGGGAAAGTGGGAAGGGGCACCAGCTAGGAGAATTAGGTGAATTTTATCAACAAAGTGTAATTTCTTTGCTCTGAAAGGATTAAGTGGTGGAACTTCTAGGATGAATGATCCTGGAGGGGGAACAAAAGGGGAACAAAATTGTTCAGGGTGCTCCCTACAGTGTTTTCAGTGCAATCGTACTGCGTAGCAGTCCCTGATGCAATTGAGAAGGATCACTGATTCGACCGGACAATCAGCATCACCAAAAGTTGTCAGCGAAGCTTTTAGTGATTGTATGGCAACCAAGCTTTAGATATGCCACAGTACTTAACTTGTATGATCTACTAATGATCTCAAAATTGCTAAACATTATAGATTCACTGAAAAAAAAAAAAAAATAAGTAAAGAGTAAGTATCAGTACAAATGCAAAATGCAAAAACGAAAAAAAAAAAAAAAAAAATCGTGATTGCACCAAAATCATAATTATACAAAAGGACACAAGTTACAAAACTGGACAATTTGTAAATCATTCAAAACATAACATTTAGAAGACAATCCCACATTTCTTTAATAATGCTAACAAAAACCTCTTCATATATTTTTATAATTTTTTTTTAAACAAATTGTGAGGCTCAGCTGCTGGTGAGCAAAAACAAAAAGAAAAATGAAATTGATGCACTTAAATTATTCTGAATTACAATTGCTAGTCTATTAACATTAAATTACTATTGTTTTGTTATCTGCAATGAAAACAACTAATTAAGTGTTTCATCCTAATATATTTTTTTGTTGTGACAGTAAAATAATTTTAATCTAAACTAAGCTGGAGAGAAATATGCTACAGTTTTCCAGTGACTAATGCAAAAATCCATAGCACATTTTGGTATTTTTTTAAAAATATTAGTCAAACTAATTGTGAATTTTTTATTTCAAAATTGACACATGCAAGAAACTAATATTTCTTTTTACAACCTGGAGCCACATTTCTCTGTCTTTATCTTTATTAACCATCAAGTAATTTAACATTAACCTAGTACAGTAAGGCCTAAAAAAATGCAATGTTGACATAATGGGCCTCAAAAAATAGGGTAGGTAGGTAGGAAATTTTTATACTGCCACAATATTCAGCAAGATCTTGAAGTCTTTTTTTTCTCTTTTGCGGGAATCGCCTACTTTTATTTCAATACTTTTTCATTTAACACCTTGAAGTCTATAAAAATAATTAAATAAGCCTTTTAAAGCCCCTGTTTTTTGTCCTTGGATCACTTTTGAAACATTTTGCGTGACGCCCAACTTGTATAGTGAAATTATACTGTAAAAATGTCTAGGGTCGGCTGATTTTTTAGGGTCGGTCGGGTTAAGCCAACATAACATTTTTTTAGGCCTAATATTATGCAGTAACCAAGACACCTACTGTAATCTATCAAAATAGGATTGTATACAATATTAAGTCAGTTGATAGTTATATCATCAACAATTAACAAAACAGATTCTATTCTACAGTAGTTGCACATCCTTTAGCTACCAGTTTAAATTGAATCAACTAATTTCATATAAAGTATATACTGTACATTACTTTACATAAATACCTCATATTCTTATACAGTTTAGTATTAAACACTCTCACAAATAAATTCTTTCTTCAGATACAAATATTTATATTTTTACCTATGATTTTATCATTATTTAGTACATGGAGAACTTCTACACAAATTTATTATAAATACATAAGAATTAAAGCAGGGAGTAACAGTAAATTTTGCAGATAGGCAGAAATCTGAAAACAATCAATTACAAAGAATTTCATTTATTTTTCAAAATCAGTTACTTTTCTATGGCGGCTTTAGTCTACAAGGTTGGACATTAATTGTTTAATAATATTGATTAAAATCAGTTTATTTCAAAGATAACATTGGATGCAAATTATTGTAAATACTGTATGGAGTGGTGATATTATTAATCTTAGAAATATATAGAGAATTCCTCTGTACTGTATTGCCACAAAGGAACCTTGCAAACATCTATCTGAACACTTCAAATGGAGACAAATTTCAAAGGCAATTTAAGAATATTTTATTAGTACTAAAGGTAATTGTTTCAGGTACCACAATCAATAGTTTTATTTTTATAATACAGAACAACTTCTCCTGTTTTGCAGAAATCCTGCATTCTTTTGTGGATCATAAAATTCAAAACTAACTACTACTGTAAACCTAGTAAAGTGAAGAATGGAGATCTAATTCTGCATTTGATAACACCATCATACAGTACCATGAGCTGAACATATTCTGCACTTAAAATAAACATCATTTAAACCTCAGAAAGTAATTAATTAATGTTGTACCCTGCATTCACACTTCTATAGTACAACTACAATCACATACAATTAGGTTTCATTATTTTTCGGTATATTACACATTTCTTAACTTGTTTTTTTGCACAGCGCCTTTGTCACGTGTACATCATTTCCGCCATTTGCGACATCTTCTTTGGGATGTAGATCATATTCTCAAAGTAGCCAGCAAGATCCTCCATACTTGTGTCATCAACAGGTACATGAACCTGAAGTGCTTCCTGTGAACAGGTGTACGCAACCTCGCCACGTGCAACAGAGAAGGCCTTATGTCTGCACTCAGTCCGCCTGCACTCGGATAATGAGGCAGTGTAGCTCTCTTCAGGTGAAGACCGTTTGCGATTCAAAGAAAATGCACAGGATTGATCACGGTATCTATCAAAATAGTTAGATGTTGATGGGGATTTTGCTTTTACTGTGAAAGTCCTTGTATTCAGGTGGTCATTGGAAAAGGTGTTCTTTCTCTGTGTGGAAGTACTGTCTGGATTCACTTGAAAAGAGCTAAACCTTTGGATCAGATTAGACTTAATTAAAGTTCTATCTGTGGCATCTGTTTCTGACACCTCTTCTTGAATAGTTGCTAATTTTTTACCTGGTAAAACCTTCTTAGAAGGCTTCAAAACAGGACCAAAGACAGCTTTTTCGTCACCCTTATTCTTTGAGAATATACTCCCAGTACAACTGGAAAAAGAAGGCTGAAAACTAGTGGGAAATTTGAAAGATACACTCTGAGCAAGATCATCATTGTTCTGGCAAATTGTTGATCCCATCAACTCTGGCTGCCAAAGAGGTGGTGATGTCCCAGATGTAGTGACATAGGGTTCTAGACGATGTTTCGTCCATTTCCAAGGAACAGCTTTCAAGTGGCTGCTATTTGATTTGCGTCTTACACTGAAGTAGTTGCCATTACTAGATCTTCTACTTGAGGAGCTTCTTTTACAAGTTCCAGGTCTAGGGGGAAAAAAACATATGAAAAAACTTGATTGTAAACACAAAGTACCTGTACACTTGATTATAGCACACACACCACATGAGTAGGCCTACTTTTCACAAGCAATCAACTAGTGTTCGTAGTCACTCTTCAACTATACGTAGCTTCAATTTTTTGTGTTAAGCCCATAATTGGGTGTAATATGACATTATTATGCCATCATTAGGAACATCACAAAAATTATTTGTCACATAAAGCTAACTACCAGATTTTGCTGTCATTACTGGAAGAAAGTATACTGTACTGCTGCAGTGGTCAACTGTACAGTATGCGTACACACTCACATACAGTAGAAAGAGCATTGTCACTTTACTCAACAATGAATAAGAGCATTTTACTGTAAAATTAATATATTTGTTAATTTTATTTTTATTTTATTTCAATTCCATACCAACAGCGAGTACGAACCTGCCACTTACAGGATGGATAATTATATTATATTATGTTAGTAAAGATGAATGTAGAAGACTGCAAAAACTCCTAAAAGAAGTGCAGAAAAGCTGAAGCTGACGTCAATTTCCTGAACAGTTGTTAAATTAAATATATAACAATGAAAATAACAAATGAAGATCAGAATAGAGATTTTTAATACCGGTAGACGATGGAGCATATACTGTATTGCATTGGAATGCGCACCTGAGGGAAAAAGGAGTCGAGGTAGACAGTAACTGGAGGAATGCAGCAGTTGTGGCGAAAGATGTTATGGTTGTTATGGTCAAAGGTAGTGGAAACAATCAATCTGTCAATATATGAAGACAATAAGAGTGACATGAAATTTCCATAATAAATGTCTGTGCAAAATTCTATTTAGTGCCACTAGTCTTAAGCTTTGCCCAGATTAATGTCCACTTCTATTAGAGAAAAAACTGTTGTACAGTAGGACTATATATATAATGGTAATGGTTTTGTATTTATACAGTGCCTTCCACGATTGAAATCGTCTCAAGGTGCTCGAAAAATATATGAATAAAAGTACTGTATGAAAATAAATTTAACTGAAAATAAACTAAAACCAAACAGTATAACCGACAAACCAGATAAAAAATAGAATCACACATCACACTGTTTTACCGACCGACCAAGGCCGACCAGAATGATTTCACACTATGCTCACGCTAGCCATTCACCAATGGCAAATTGATACCATTTGGCGAAGAAAAACTTTGCATCGTTTGCCAATGGCGAATGCAAATTTTTATAAACTGTAAACAAATTTAATTTTCGTCTAGGCTAGGCTCAGCTATTCTTAATTATTTCATGCAGCAGAGATATCACCTCGCTAGGAGACCCCAATTTCCACTGAATGTTCAGTACTTACAGACACTGTCAAGTTCATGTGGAAAATCCCAAATAGATAAATCATTCTGGGCATGCATATGGACATGCATGGGTAGTTTTAAAGTAAACATTCTAATCATTGCACACTGCACACGACAAAACTATCGTTCCCACGCTAAGAGAGAACGCTAAAACGATATTTCTTTGGCGATTTTGTTTAAAACATTATTATACTACTTAAAATAATATGTATCCCGAAAATCCGAATTTCTCCTAATTCTGAACGTATTATTCGGTCCAAACACTTAAGTCAACTTCTTAAACTAGACGATCAGTTAACAAAACAACAAGCATAGGCCTAGGTCTACTAGATGCCGTCACTAACTACAGTAATTGTCATGCCATGCCATGGAGATTACAGTACAATAAATCGACAGTATGTTAAACAAAGTTAAACCTTATAGTTATACCAGAAAAAATCTATTTATATTTGTCTTTAAAATAAAACCATTAGGCTTTCTTTTTTTGTTAATATATCTGTTTCATTAAATCTTCATCGTCTTACACTGAGCTTGTTTCTTGTTTCACGCACTATGAAACTTTGGGCAATCTGACGTCATCCCAATTGAAGCACGTGTTTTCACACCACCACCGCACCCCCGAAAAAAATTAAACAATTAGCAGACAGGGTTTCGGAGGCGGGGTCTCTGCCCTCAGCAAAGTGAAGAATGAAAACAATTAACGAAATTAAGAACTTAGAGCATCTAGACGTGTAAATTTTACAAAATTTTCTAACCTCAGGCCCAACCATGGTGGGGCTGAGGTTGTTGGAGACTCTCACTCCGTACCAACCAATAAATGCTCCCGCCACCCCTGATTACGGAGGAAATTTGCAGAGAATGAAATTTAAATTTGTTAGTTTTATTTATAAAATAAAGCCATTAGGGATTCTTTATTTGTTTAAATAATTCTGTTAAAGCTTCATCGTCTTACACTGAAGCTTGCTCCTGTGTTACGCACCATGAAAATTTGGCGATCTGACGTCATCCCAATCGAAGCACGTGTTTGCATGCCATCACCACACATCCGAAAAAAAAATTATCCAATTGGCGGGCAGGGTTCCGGAGACGCGGTTTCTGCCCTCAGGAAAGGTCATCGTGACGACGAAAATATGTTGCGTTTACAAAGAAGTACACAAGACCGAAATGCATGTCAAACAATATGTAAAAGCATCAATTTTATAGATAATTACTGATATGCTGTAGAGCAAAAAAACAGGTCGGGCCTACAGTAACGTACTCGCGTGAATAAGCGCCTGGGCGCTTAAAATATTTTTTTGCACTTTTTGAGGGGCGCTTATTCAAACAGGGTGCTTATTCAATACCATCCTTAACGAAAATTAAGTGAAAATTGAGGGGGCGCTTATGGAAATAGATGAAAATCGAGGGGTTCTTATGAGAACTTATTAAATCCAAGAGGCACATTTTTAATGAAAAACCATTAAATAAGGACATCAGGAAACTGCAAATTACGAATGGTGCTGCGGCAGAAAAGATAATCATCCAGAGAGCATGGCTTGTCATGACAAAAATGTTGTGAGTACAATATTACATAACAGCAGAATAGCAGATGAAATTAGTGGTGGTGGTTAGCTTGTTCGCCATCGGTTGATTGAGAATAGCAGGACGGCATGATCATTGCAGGTTTTCTTGAAAACTTAGATGAGAATGTGTTAAAGATGCAAATTGTCGGAAAAGGAGTAGTAGGACTAGGCTATAGACAAATGAAAGAAGATGAAAGTTTGAAATATACTGTCTGTCCAGGGAGCTCTCATCATTCTGTCAAAGACTCCACACCTCAAATCATACCAACATCCACAGTCTCAGGAGTGATTGGATTGAGGGGGTGTTTATTCAAATTAAAAGGGGGCGCTTATTCAAACAGGGCGCTTAAGGAAATTTTCTCATTATAAGGGGCGCTAATTCAATAGGGGCGCTTATTCAAACGGGGCGCTAATTCAAATGGGTGCTTATTCGCGTGAGAACGGTACTGTTGAAATAGCAGTTCGCTTGTAATGCCAAAAAGGCACTCTACTCCCTCCCAATTTGAATTAGGGCCTAGTTAAGGCCTAGGCGTAACACTAGGCCTAAAGCAGGTACGGTAGCCGTCGGTCCCACATATCGTAAACGATGGTTTTTGTTTCGTTTGTTCAATCATTAGTATTATTATTACCGCCTTTATGACTTGTTACAAATGATCAAGACATAAATAAGCAAGAAATTCATTTACGGAGGCGTTTTAGCAAAATTTTATTGGTTTTTAAATTTGGCTAAAGAATTTTCAAGTTGGTGAAAAAAATTAAAAACCTTTCGCCATTTTGGCAAAAGAAATTTTGACCCTAGAGAGAGTGTAGTCACAGGCATCATAATGATGTGTTTAACTAACTATTGGCCTACGGAATCAACGAAAATGAACAGATGTGATGTGTCATGATGTATCTAATTCATCATGACCATATTTTTGTCACATAGCCTGGACAGGGATTTAGTATAAAAAGCAACATATTGTATATTTAAGATAACATAAAATATCTTACTCTGAGGAATCCACCTTTAATTTCTTGAACATTGACTGCATGTCCAAATCATCCAGTGCACCTGGTGAAGACATACTGTACAGTAAGACCAACTCCTTCAAAACCAGAAACCTGATCTATATAGATCAAAAACTAGTAAGATGTGTATAAGAGACAGACTGTTCGTTAAGGATGGTATTGATATTAGATGCTGATTGCTTTCAGATTCAGGCATGAGCGAACCCACGTGCCCGACGCCCGGGACAAGTGTTTTTTACGGTCGGATAACAAGAATGTTAGGGACCACTTGTCCGTGGACAAGCACTTTTAGAATAGGCTACTTCACCATGTAATGCGAGTACTTATAAAAAGTCTGGCTCTTGACAATGCGCAGCATATTTTAGTAACAAATTGTTGGTGCACAAAGAGAAATCAAACAGAAAACTGACTACAGTATGCCATGATTACGAACAGCACACTAGTGTTCATCAAGTAAAGCTGGGCTTATGTCGCCCTTGCTACTCGACTCAACTCAACTGACATCAACTGACTTTTGGCAACTTGCCAGCAACTGGCAAGCAACTGTGAGCAACTGAGGGCAACTGAGTCGTGCGACTGAAGGTGACATAGCACACCTTGCGATCGAAAGCAACTGAAAAGCAACTGAAAATCGCCAGTTGCTCTCAGTTGCTTTCAGTTGCCATGTTCTATATTGTAGCAATTCAAACAATTGGCAAGCGACTGAAAATGATACTGCGCATGTTGATTATAAAGTTACGTTTACCACCGAAAATAATTTGGTGTGGTTTATGTATTATGGTGTTTACAAGACTTCTGTAATACCGTACAACTTTCGAATTGAAACCCTGGGCTTCTTTTTTTTTAAATTATTTATTTATTTATTTTTTGAGACTTTTGGATGGGCTTCTTTTTGCGGCTACTTTTGCAAAATAATGAGGGGGCTTCTTTTCAAAATGAATAATGTTTAAAATTTTGTGAATTTGTTCTACTAAACAATAAATACGGCCGCTTTAACATCAATCTGTATCATGGAGTGTATTAATTTTAACTGGCATTAAATCACCTAAACTACTGTATAAACCAAGCTTGTTTTTAATTTATTTTGTTTTCTGAAATTCATGCACAGTGTATAGTACTGTACTATCTCGAAAAGAAGATTTAAGTTATCTTGAAAAGAAGCCCACGGGCTTCTTTTTAGAGGCTAATTTTGCAAACTAGAAGGGGCTTCATTTCGAAATGGGCTTCATCTCGAGATTAAGCCCACTGGGCTTCAATTCGAGGGTTTACGGTATGTCATTTCATGTAACAAATAATAATCATAATAGCCTATTATTGTGCCTTATCTGTCCAGAAAGTTTTCCTGACAGGCTCTAATGGCCTGATAGAACACATTTACTCATTGAATGCTATAATTGAAGACGCAGAAAAGTATAACTCTAAAGCCTTTGTGACATTTCTGGACTTAGACAATGCTTTTGGAAGCGTCCCTCATGAATGGATTTTTAAACTATTGAACTTTTATGATGTTCCGAACTGTATATGCTCTTACGTTTATAAGATATAATAATTTAAGAGTTAAAATTAAGTGTGCCAAATGGGAGACTATAGACATAAGTATTCAAAGGGGTATCTTCCAAGGAGATGCACTCTCCCCTATTATATTCCTCATAGCTTTTAATCCGCTTCTCGATGTTGTTAGGGAAAACAAAGACCTTGGGTATCGTCTAAATATCCCTGTCCAAAATTCTGAAAGATTACCCCCTGAAGGGTCCTATGTTTATGTTGTTGCCAGGCCAGTATGGTACCTGGGGAAGATTTCAGGATTCAAACATGATGGATCAGTGTACCTCACATGTAAAGGAGAATCTCACTCTAATGAGATAGCACTTTAACAGAGGAAAATTGGCACCTGGCCTCAGGATCTGACAGGAAATTTAGGGAAAAAAACCCTCCCAAAAGGCCACTTCCTAAAATTAGACGGGAGTTGGGTAAAACAAAATTCTCTCTGTCATCCCCTCACGTTGCCAAAGCATTTCCCGATGACAACCATTATTACTAGTGATGTTAATAATCATCAAAGAATTCTTGATGAATTCAGTACGAGGGCTAAAGAAATGGGCTTCACCCCTAGACCAGATAAGAGCTATTTCCTATCAATTAATGATAAAAATAATAGTTGTTCAACTAATAGACAATGAGCCAATTTAGTTTGTTAAAGACAATCCCACTAAATTCCTTGGACGAATTACATCTAATCGCCAATAATTCGGCTGCTAATGCAGGTGCTAAACTCTTGGAGCTAGTTAAACAATTTATGGAAAATCTATAAAAAAAAAAAAAAAATAGAGGTGAATATAAGACATGGATCATACTGTACTATATGATCCCGAGTATTAGATATTTTGTTAACTGTAAATGACATAGCTAAATCAAATCTAGAAAAGGCTCAAGCATTGATTAATAGGTCAGTTAAACAATGGCTTCAACTTCCTCGCAGCACAACCATTGCAATTTTGCACCATCCTAAATTGCTAGGCTTGCCTTATATGCGTGACTTGTACTGTACAAACATACTAAAGCCACGGCCCTTGCTCAACTTTTATACTAAAGATCGGCTCCTCAAAGAAATGCTCTCCAACTTGGACCCAGGGGGGAAGCTAATTCCAAAATTTGTTCTCCCTGGGATGGAGCTTCTTAACGAAGCCGACCTAAATTGCACATATAAAAACCTAAGCAAGGTAGCTAACGATAAAGTTGAAGCCAGATGGAACGAGAAACTTAATTCATTATCAGTACAATGTAAAAGTACTAAAAAAGGCCTATCAACCTTCCCCCGGGCCCCACCCCCAAACCCGGTACAAAAAAAAATTCTATGTGCCCTTAGGCTAGGCCTACCTAGGCCTAGGCCTCCTAAGCTAGTGGGGCCTACTACTAGGCTAGGCCTAGGCTACATCACTTAAAATCCTATTCCTTTCTGTACTGAACTGAGTTCCTACCTGCATCTCTTAGACTATAGCCTAGTAGTAGCCTATTAGGCCTAAGTAGAAAGGCCTACAATTTCAAAGGGGCTAGCATAACTACCACTAGTTGTGGCACGCTAGGTTATGGCTTAGCCATGGTCTACGGGGTAGCCTAGGCCAAGTAGGCCTACAGGAAGAAAATGACTTGCCCTTGTGTGGTGTATCTTGTGTGTTGTTGTTGTTGGTTTCAATTGTCAAGATTTACTCAATGAAAATAATCACAAGAAGTCTTATGAAATAATTTTGAAACACAAACGTGAATGTATATACCTTCTACTTACCCTTGGTAGTATTTTCTATTATATTGAAATGATATTCTATTCAAAATATAAGCAAAATATATGATGAACTTCCACAACTTCGTAAGGCGAAAGCCGCCATCTTTGTTTTGACGACGCGAAAGGTTGGCGCATGCTTCATTTTGGGTGACATCATCAACGTGTTTGTGGAAAACCTTTTCTCTCTATATTATGCGTCATCCTTTCAGGGATCATCGATAAATTTTATTTTATTTTATTTTATATATTATTTAAATACAGTAGAACCCCTATTAAGGGGACACCGTCTGTACAAAAAAAAAGTTCCCCTTAATAGGGGGTGTCCCCTGAATAGGGGTCCCCTATTTTGGGGAAACTAACCAAAAACGCAAAATTTTCCCCTTACAAGGGGTTTTTGATGGCATGTTTTCATACAATGATAACACACATTCTGTGTAATATTATTGATTGACATGGAATAATCAGCTAGCTAAGTAAGTAGAATTAGAACTTTCTAGCAACAAAATGCAAATACAATTCATTTATAATATGCCAATCAGCACAAATGTAATTAAAACATTTTTATATGTTGTAGAAGTGGTTTGGTGCAGTAGAGGTAGGCGATACAGGCCTGTTTGGCCCATGTTTATGCCTTTTTTTTCATCAAACCATCACTGATGGGTTCCACTAGGAGTAAATGGGTACCTGGTGGGGTTACCAGCAGCAACACTTAAAACATGAAGACCCAATGACAAGCGAAAAAGAATTAGCGCTTTGATCTACAAAAATAAAGGCACTGTACAAATGATATAGGCCTAAATAATAAAATATTAATAATAAAATGTTCCAAATATTATTTTAATAATGCTATTAACGGTTTAAATACTACCGGTCAGATGTAAGACGAAACAAGCAAATGTTAAGGTAAGTCATGTATATAGAAGTCAGGAATGCTATAGTGAGTAATGTATATAGGAATTAGAATGAATTACAATGAGAGAGTGATATTTGTAACGAGTTGTTTGTTTGTTAAGTGACGGATTTCCCCAAGCAATGTAAAGGGCTTCTTTTATTTTTAGTTGAAAAGTGTTGTGGGCGGAGTCAAGAATAGTAAAACAGTCTGAATTACTTGTGTTTTGACATTTAACAGATTGTTTAAGATGTTGAAATATGTGTGATGACTATCCCGAACTAAATGCTCCTTAATCCGTGTAAAGTGTCTATTGGTCTCGCCAATATACACGGAGTTCCGCGCAAGTAAATTTGTAGACAACACGGGCTCGGAGTTTAGTTGAGACATAGTCTTTTACGTTAAAAAAATTTGATAATTTATATGACTTGAAAGCAAGTCTGACATTAATGTTATAAGAGAAATAATTTTTGACCATAGTGTTAATTTTTCGTTGACAATAGTTTGATAATGGTGTATAGGGTAACTTGAAATAAGAAGGTTGTGTTTGCGTTGCGTTTGCAACCTTCTTATACATTAATATTTGCTTTCGTCTTACATCTGACCGGTAGTATTTAAACCGTTTGTAGCATAAGCGTTATGACCTGATGATGACGTGGGACACGTCGAAACATGTCGTTTATAAGTTACATTTACTTTATTATATGCATTACTGCATTTGTATATATATATA